GTCAGCCAGCTGTTCAATTTAAACCCAGTTTACTTAATCTGAGTTTAAACTGGCACTGAAAAACTGGCCCTAAGGGCCGTAAACTTATCTATTTTTTTAAACTATAGTTAAATCGTTAATAGATAAGATAAAAAACAGCCCTAACACTTATACAGTATGTATGTATAAAAACGTAATTAACATACAATAGATGTATGTCAGTCTTTCTTAGTTTAAAAATTCATCTCTTATATGAATGCAAAACAAAAAGTTGAGCAAATTAAGCATATACAACTTTTTCATGCCCAGTGTGAATAAATTCTCCAACGGGCTAAAAAAAAGGGCTAGGGGCAATTTTAAATTTATGTGGCCAAAAAAAGTATGTGTATGTGTGTGTAAGTAAAACGGCAACACTGTTCGTCAGTGTTTTTGCAAAACCGCCCATGGGCCAATTGCAAAATCGTACGTACGTCACTCAAATATTACAGGAGGGCAAAAACGCGGGTTTTCTTTGAAGGCATTGAGTTGAAAGGCGGTATTTTCTGGCTATTATTTTATAAATCTGTTGTTTTAATAAAGATTTGTATGCATAAATCTCGATGCCTGGAGTTCAAGGTTACCAAATCTCATTTTTGCCACAACGGCTTTTTAGGCGGTTTTGCAAATGGTCGTTGGGCGGTTGTACAAAAACATCGACGATTTGATTTGTGATTTCATTCATCGACCAAATTAAAAAATTAAGTTTTTTTTCTGATTTGATTGGTCAACCAATTAAAAATGTGATTGGTTGGACAAGAAAAAAACCAATTATTGGTGCAAAAAAAAAAGTTTTTAGTTGGAAAATCACTACATATTCAAATTGATCCGCGCGACAAATCAAATCAAAAATAAAATTAATTTTTTGTATGCCCGATAAAATCAAATCAGAAATAAACTTTATTTTCCATTTGTGCGACGATTAAATTAATAAATAAATTATATTGTATTATTTGGGATTTGTTAGAACTTTCACTTCATTTCTTAGCATTTTGCTGTAGGCCCCTATTGCGAGTGTCGACTGGCAGTAGAATAGAAATTTGTCGATCGAGTCGATCATCTTTTATTTTGCTATTGTGTAACTTGATCGATAAAAATTTGTACTATTGTGAATGGTTGACNTTGACTTACTTTTTATCCATTATAGTACCACTTACTTATGTAAATTTTATAAACGCAAACTCCAACGACTAAAAAACGGCAATAGAAGGATGAGCGATTAAAAAGTATTCACAGTCGCTAATTGAGCGACTAAGCGACACTCACAATACTATCGATAATCGATAATCGCTTAATAGTCGTTTTTCTACTGCCAGTCGACACTCGCAATAGGGGTGGTAGTGTCGTAAAGTGCTTAAATTTTGAAAAAAATATGCTATAAGGGGTTTTTTTTGGTAGGAATAATCCATTTCTGTACTTATTTTTTTCTTAAAACTTACAAAAGAGGGCGCAAGAGTGAAAAATTTCACATTTTCTTCGAAACCTATTTTCTCAATTTGGCAAATTTCAAATTTGTTTAGGCCCATTGTTTCTTCGGAAAATTTGCTTAGATTTACAGGTAGAAACCTACGCTATACGCACATAGTAAAAATAATTACCCTCCCTAATGTGCATACATACAACTACTTTTCCTGTTATTGCGTCAAGGAACTGATTTCCATGGCCGCCAGATCCGAAAAACCCATTTTGGTTTATTTTATGTTGATTTTAGGTCAAAAAAATAAGTAAAAAATTTTTCTTTTGTAAGTAATTCAAATTACCTTGACAGACCTTAAAAAATAAAAGTTTAAGTTTTTAAAACAACTTAAAATATTATTTTCGGGTCGCGTGACTATTGCAATATGTTTCAAGCATTTTAAAAAGTTCATTGCATACTCGTTTAGGTAAAAAAATAAAAAAAATTAAATTTTTTTTCATCGAGAATATTTTTCCTGAATTATCCACATCAAAGGCCTCAGAATACCGTTATATTTATTTCGTTACTTTTTCTCGTTTTCGTTCTCGAGATAATATATTTTATCACAAAAAAAAAAATCATTTTCTAATTTGTATGGTGCGTGGTTTACGAAAACGCGTAATTTTTAGATTTAAGCTATCATTTTACATAAGAATCAGCTGGAAATGTATACAACTATTTCTCAGTGTGACTTCTGTTAACTTGATATACTACTTAGTAGGCACTCCAGTTTCAAGTGGTGAAAGGCTGATTGTGGTGAATCTTAAGTATTGTTATTCTATTCGTAATATCAATACTACTAAGTAAATCACTTCTGCGTTGATTGTTAAAATACTTAAGAGTGCTTCTATCTATGGAAACCCATATAGATAACGATAATTGAAAATGTACTAAGAATTGAAATGAATAAAGCTAAGTATACAGCTTGTGGACGTTTTTTTTTTACTATAAGCCAATTAAGAAAGGTTCTCAATTAAGTGTGCCAGCTAGCTAGTTGGACACTGAACGCCGACACAGTGCTTTCTTCTTATTTGATTATCTGAAATTTTTTGTATTTAATTGATTTGATTTGATTGACCTATTTTATGCTGCAAGCACTGACAAAATAATACTACTATTATCACCAGCGAGTGATAACGAAGTTATAGTAATTTACTTGGCAAGAGGTTCGTATAAAAGCTGCTCAGCATTCCAGCATAGATAGCACTTTACGTTCGATAAGACTACTGGAATCGTTTCTTTATGGACGGAAGGATGACTAAAAGCACAAGTTTAGGCTACTTAACTGTAATATTTTTAACGCTCAGCGCTGCTATTCAAGGCCAACATGAGCCGCATTGGTGGATTAATCGCAATACTATTGTACACCTTTTCGAATGGAAGTGGACGGATATAGCCAAAGAGTGTGAGCGGTTCTTAGCACCGCAAGGGTTTGCCGGCGTACAGGTGAGCAGACAACCTTATGAAATAGCATTTTCTTAATAAAAGTTTTGACAAACCCTCACAATTTTTTCCCAAAAACATGTATATAGGTCTCACCCGCAGTCGAGAACGTGGTCATCGCCGGTCGTCCATGGTGGGAGCGCTACCATCCAGTTTCCTACAAGCTGATCACACGATCTGGCAATGAAACCGAGTTCGCGGATATGGTGCGAAAATGCAACGATGTAGGTGTACGCATTTACGTTGATGTCTTGCTAAATCATATGGCTGCCACACATGAGGGTATTGTAGAAGGCACTGGTGGCTCTAGGGCGTCACCAGGTGCCAAAGATTTCCCAGCTGTACCTTATGCTGCACATGACTTCCATACAACTTGCGACATTCTGGATTGGAATGATCGTATTCAAGTGCAAAATTGTGAGCTAGTTAGCTTGAAGGACTTGAATCAGAGCAGCGAATGGGTGCGTGATCGTCTCGTAGAATTTCTCGATCATTTGGTTGAGTTGGGCGTCGCTGGTTTTCGTGTGGATGCCGCCAAGCATATGCCAGCCAAAGATTTGAAGGTCACATTTTCGTTTACTCTTTTCCTTACATAACATTCCTCTATTTTTAACTTTTATATATAATTCACAGATCATCTACGATCGCGTGCGTAATCTCAACATTGAACATGGCTTCGCGCGCAATACGCGTCCCTTCATATATCAGGAGGTAATCGATCATGGCCACGAAACGGTCACCAAGTATGAGTATAATTCACTTGGCGTCGTCACTGAATTCCGCTTTTCGGAGGAAATTGGCAACGCCTTCCGTGGTCATAATCAGCTCAAATGGTTACAAAACTTTGGCATCGCCTGGGGCTTCCTACCCTCCGAGGATGCCTTGGTCTTTGTCGACAATCATGATAATCAGCGCGATGGCGGCAATGTACTTACTTATAAAATAGCTAAGCAATACAAAATGGCCACTGCTTTTATGCTAGCCTACCCCTTTGGCATTGCGCGCGTAATGAGCTCATTTCACTTTGAGCACCGCGATCAGGCGCCACCGGCAGACACAAATGAGCAGTTACTTTCACCTGAATTTGATGAAAATGGCGCTTGCTGGAATGGTTGGGTTTGTGAGCATCGTTGGCGCCAAATCTATAACATGGTGGGTTTCAAGAATGCGGTACGCGGCACTCAAGTGACTAATTGGTGGGATAATGACGACAATCAGATTGCTTTCTGTCGTGGCAAGCGCGGCTTTATTGCATTTAATGGGAATAGCTGGGACTTGAAGCAGCATTTGAATACTTGTTTGCCTGCTGGGGTATACTGTGATGTAATCTCAGGTGGGCTTGTGAATGGCAATTGCACCGGAAAGTCCGTAGTGGTCAACGATTCGAGTTATGCTGATATTGAATTGGGCCCCGATGAGTTCGATGGTGTTCTAGCTATACATGCGAATTCGAAGCTGTAGAATCTTTATTGTGAAAGGATATGCTGATGAAATGTGAAAATAAAATTTACATATTTTATTAAATTGTTTCGAAAAACTTTTAATTACGTACACGCTGGGTTCTGAGCCACACATTTTCTTAGATTGTCGGACTTTTATTTAATATATAGTCAGTCGCGGGGAAAACTTTTAAAGCTTTGATTGAAACTCTGACTGACAGTCAGTAATACATATATTATATCGATGCTGATCAAAACGTATCCCACAGCAGAAGCTTTTTAACGAATTTTTTATTTTATATGGAAATGCACAAAATAAAAGCTCTATCCGATTATCACTGTTATAATACTGATTCGTAGCCACTGATCCACGCCAAAGATGAGCATTGCCTTGACTCTGTGATTTAAGTTTTTATATACCTTTTATGGGCCAGTGATGAACAGTGGAGCCTTGACTCTGTTCGCGGTCGTATAAAATGTACAATAAACTTTGAAAAGCTTCTTCAACACTGGATGGGTTTTTGTAGGGACTGATATAGACGTACGCGAGGTAAAATCTCTCTTTTTCATTTTCATCTCTCTTTTCTCATTTTTTTAAATTTGTTATAAAAAAACACTAATATTTTCATTAAAAACGACAAAATTTTATTTGCTTCATCAATATTTCTCTCAATTAATAGGTACATATGTACATAGATACATACATGTAAACTATTGCACAATTTCATAATATTACATTTAGTAAATAATAAAAAAAATTTAACGATGACAAGTTGGTTTCATTTACTTTTTTTCAAAAGATGAACTTTTTCATTTACATTTATTTATTTTGCTTTTTTAATATAAAATGATTTTTAGTACAATAAACTATGTACGAGTATATAAGTATTTTGTGATGAAATGCTATGAAATAAGTAAAAGTGTATTCATGAATTCTTCGCAAAGCAAATTCTCAGTTTTGTTTTGTTTTATTTTGTAGTACAAATTTGAATCGCTCTTTTTTTATTCTTCGTCCATATTATGTAAATCTTTCAATAATTTATCATTCTTCATATGTTTCTGCGCTCCAAGACATTTAGCGAGCTGCAATTTCGACCTTTTATGTATTTTCCCTCTATTTATTATTTCAATATAATTCAATTTGTTTAAACAAATTTTAATCAGTACGCCAACAACAACAAGGATGCTCATTAACAGGGCAAACCACAAAAAGTACGAGTACTTACCGTATATGTATATGTGTTAGTGCCTTTGGGGATTGAGTTGCGGGTAAAGCACATTTTCTTATAAATTATTGTAAAGTTCTAACACTTGTTTGCAATAAATATTTTAACATTTACTGATTTAAATTTATATCTTTAACCTTGAAAACTTTTATTAATGAAAACATTTATATTTACTAGATTTTTTTTTTGTTACAGTATTGTAACCTTTTTTGTTAATTTTATGCATATTTTTGTAACAAATATTTTTCTTATCAGCTTTTTTCTGTTAATTTAAGTTTGGTTGCCTTTGTTTTTTTTCGTCCTGTTTTGTTGTTGTATATGAAAATAGTTTTTAATATCTTTCTTAGTTTTCTTTTAAGAACAAAAAATTTTTCCACCTTCAAAATTTCCTATTAATTTATGCTTTGTAGAATTTAAAAAATCCACACCATTCGCCAGTGTTCGTTTTGATTGGAAAAATTGCATGTCTGCAAATAGAAAAGTGAAGAAATTATAATCTTAAGGAAGGTTCAAATATTGAAATCACTACTTATTGCAGGATGACAAAGTTAAAAATTGCATACGATAAAATCAAAAATATTTTCTATAATTTTTTTTTTTCAGAAAAATTTAACCACAACAAAAGCGGTATTTTTGCTGTTTTTAGGAAAAACCCAAAAATATATTTATGTACAATAAACTATTCATAGTCACAAAGTTTATTTTGTTTTAGTTAAATTTTGGTTTATTTTATTTTTTATTAATTTTTTGTCGTTATCTTTTAATTTGATTTTCCTATGCTATATTTTATGTTATTTAATTTTTAATGTTTACCTTATTTATTCTATTTTATTTTAATGAAATATATCTAAGTTTTTTTTATTCTCAATATAAATTTTGTTTTAGTGGCTGAGTTGTTTTTTTATGTTATATGTTATATATGTATTTTTTATTTATTTTTTTTAAATAAATTTAATTATGATTTATATTGTTCCATATCTCGATTTTATTTTGTTTTATTATATATTGTTATATCATATTTTATTTTATTTGATTTTATATTTTTAAGTTTATATAACTTAATTTAATTTAATTTTTATTATTTTTTGTTCTAATTTATTATATTATATTATATTATATTATATTATATTATATTATATTATATTTAATTTAATTTAATTTAATTTAATTTAATTTAAATTAATTTGATTTGATTTGATTTGATTTGATTTGATTTGATTTGATTTGATTTGATTTGATTTGATTTGATTTGATTTGATTTGATTTGATTTGATTTGATTTGATTTGATTTGATTTGATTTGATTTGATTTGATTTGATTTGATTTGATTTGATTTGATTTGATTTGATTTGATTTGATTTGATTTGATTTGATTTGATTTGATTTGATTTGATTTGATTTGATTTGATTTGATTTGATTTGATTTGATTTGATTTGATTTGATTTGATTTGATTTGATTTGATTTGATTTGATTTGATTTGATTTGATTTGATTTGATTTGATTTGATTTGATTTGATTTNCTTTATTATATTATGTTAGTTTATTTTATTTTCTTTACTTTAATTTAACTTAATTTTATTTTGTTTTAATGTCGTATTTTATTTTATTTTCTTTTATAATTTTTTTTTATTTTAAAAATTAAATGTTACATATATTTTTTTTTAAGATTATCTAAATTACAACAAAGTCACTTAAAGCACACTACAAATAAAAATCGTAAAAAAAAACAAAAAGCAAATTTTAAAAAGCACTTTCTAATGCATTCCAGCAATTTTTCCAATAGCGTCTATTTGCAAATCATATAAATCAATAAATACAAAGCTCATTTACCAAACTCTAAGCTTGTACGCGTCACTGCCAAAAGTATACTACCGCAGGTCTCAGGCTACTTGCTTGCATAAAACATGTGATTTGGTGTAACGAAAGTAATTCGCTATTTAACTGCACTTAAAACTAGAAAAAATCTGACTGATATTTTACAGTATAATTTGAATTTGTGATGTTTTTTGCTTTAAGCTCTTTTACCTTTGCAAATAGCTGTTTTTAATATGTTTTTTCTTTGCGTGAGTGAAAGCTTTCAAGCGTTTAAATTCTTGCTGTTAGTGTAGGATGTTGTGCTTTGTTCAAGAACTGAAATAGAGTAAAACTGATAGGTATGTCTTGAAAGGAGTTAGTAGCGTAATGCGGATGTGATGTACATAAATTTTATTGACTACAAAAAATGGCCGTTTGATATGCAAATTATTCTAGAATTTTTTTAAATCTTTAGAAAGCCGAAAAATAATGAAAGCTTCTTTCGGAATTTAGTATGATAACTATTCTCTTGGCATAGAAATAGTGAAACTCGAACAGAGCTTTTTTAAGGTTAGATACTATTTCTTTCTACGCATTTTGCATTGACGAGCATAGAGCAAGCTCTCTCTGCCCTGGACTGTTTTTAAAACTTTACTTCTTAAAATTCCAAATTTTTGTAACAACACGTGGAACTGTAGTTAGGTTTAAGATTTACGAAAGCTTCTGAAAACCTTTTGGTTTTTCGCATCGTCAAAAAATATTTTGAGTGCCTAAAATAAAATTTTCACGCTTTTGCTGCGGTTATGGGCAACGCCTTGCTGCATGCAGAGCTTTTTTAAACATTCTATGCATTTTGCACAAACGAGCATAGGGCAAACGCTTTCTATGCTCTCCACTGTTTTCGAGACTTTTTAAAAGCTTCTTAAAATACAAGTACTGTAGCATGCATTAAACATTTACTGAGCTGCTAAAAGACAAATTTTTTAAACCCGTTGTTTGAAAGCTTCTTTGTATGAATTATTATGCCTTTAAAATGATTTTGCGAAAGCTGCTATGAATAAATATACCGCAGCTTTCGAATTGTGCTTTGCAAAAAGCTTTAAATTTGCAAATTACTTACTTGCACCAATAGATTAATGTTTTACCTGATTTTTTTAAATTTTTTTAAAGCATTTTTAAAAACGATTTTAATCTCCTAAAAATAACTTTGTGAAAACTTGTAAAAGCTGGTCCTTTGCAAGCTTTTCGGATTTGTGGGTAATTTATGAACTCCAACTATACAACTTAATTTGTTTTTGTAAAAATGTATGCAAAAGCTACTAATTGAAATAAAATTTTCTCAAATTTTCCAAAAAATGATTATTTTTGTTTTCAGTTTTGAAAAGAGTTTTGTGAAAGCTTATGTAAATAAAACTACCAAAGCTCGTATAAGTAGCTTAATGAGAGCTTTTGAATTATTGATTTTTTTTTCGATTTCAACTTACAATTTGTCAGATTGTTTGGTGATCAACTTTAACAGTAATTTAAGATAAAATAAAAATTCCGGATCAAATTTAATTAAACACTTACTGCAATTTCGCGAAAATTGCTCTGAATTTAATTATTAAAGCCGAGCGAAAGCTCTTCACTGCTTATCTCGTTTTCAACTTTGAAGCTTATCAGTATATGAAAATTTAAAAGAAATTGGCCGCAGTAAGCTTTATAAAATTGTATGTTTTATTAAGGACTTTTGTATTTTGTTATATGAACTACTAGTTACCTTTGGTGAAATTACCGTAATACAGCCATTTTATGGGTCAACTTTTTTTAAGCGTAACGTGAGTGTAAATTTTATTAATATTTAAATCTTTTCGTATGGTTAACGGTATTTATGTATGAATGTATATGAATCGACTATGTATGCGGATAAGTGCTCGTAACAACTATTTTTTTGCTTTTCGTATTTCATTTATTTTATAATTTCTTGCATTTACTTTTAAATAGTTTGAAACAGCCTAAGAACCAGAACCATTTCATGTATATTGGGGTAAACAGGATGTAAATATTTTGAATTTTATTTAAATTTTCTTTGTATGTAAATATTTAGTTTGATCTGATTTCAAATACACGCAACATTAAGATTGTCCAAAGTTATGTATTTATTAGATTTTTTTTAACGAGTACATGGGAATGTTAGTAAATATACAAGCATTTGCACATGTTTAAGTAGGTGCAAAGGAATGCTAATGACTATTGAAAAAATCTTGTATTATTTGATTGTAAATATTTAAATTTGAAAATATTTTTTACTTCTTTTGCTCATGTTTTTCAATATTTTTATAACGGTATTTCTATTTAAGTGAGGAAAAAAATTTATTTTTTTTTCTTTAATAATTGGCTGTTTTTATTTTTAGTTAATACATATATGCATTTGAGATTTTGTGAAAAAAATCTATTATTTTTAACAATTTATTTCATATCTAATATATACATGTGTATGTATTTATATGTGTCTATACTAACTATATGAAATGCGTAAATGGGTTGGCAATTTTTA